TATTATACCTATAATATAGTGGCAATAAAAACAAATTAATGATAGCTATATACTTCAAAACAGATAAATCTCAGGAGAATGTTAAGCAAAAGAAAAAAGGAAGGAAAAGAGAGTTGACAGAAAAAAGACAGACTCTGATGCCACTTACGTAAAGCTCATAAATAGGCAAACTAAACAAACAAAAATGGGAAAAACATGACAATGTTGCCATATTCAATGAGTTCCTGAGCATCCTGATCACCAGTGTTTTGAACTCTATCTGCCTCTGACAGGTTGGCTATCTTGTTTTGTTTAGTTCTTTTTCTGATGTTTTGTTCTGTTCTTTGATTTGGGCCATATGTCTTAGTCTCCTCAATTTGACAGCCTACCTGTATTTGTTTCTGTGTATTAGATAAAGCTGCTTTGACTCCCTGTAAAAGGCACCTACATGGATGAATGTGGCTTCTTTAAACCCTTGGGTGTCAGACTTCCATACAGTTAGATTTTCTGACAGTTCTGGATGTTATTTGAGATTTAGTTGTAATTCTTTTTGTGGTTGCGTGAGGAGGTGAACCATGTCTACCTACACCTCCATCTTGACTGGAGTTCTCTACACAAATGTTTCTTGAAAGATAAAGACAAAAACACATTTTAGAATGCCTTGATTTTTTTCCTAATCTCTCTTAGATTGGAAGAATTAGATCAGTGAGTTCTGCATTATTTTTTTTGAGCCATTATACTTAAAACTATGACTCAGTTTAATATAAAATTGAACAGAATGGTTGAATAATTGATTAAAACAGAATATGATACTCAAAATATCAAAGTTATAAGACCAGTCACTGGAAAAACTAGTGCTACTGCTGGCCTTGAAATGATTACCTAAAAACATCAAAGATAAATAACATATTTAAAATTCTATAGTTGTACCTAAGTGTAAAACTAAAGGTAAATTATCAGCCAGCCAAAGCAATCTGTTTTCATTCTTTTTTCCATTCCTTAAGTTCTTTGCTTCTATTTTCAGTTTTTAAAAAGCCTGGCTTATATACACTAGTCTCTGAGGAAGACTCTCTGGACCACCCCAGAAGGAAAGTATGCTTTCTTCTACGAAAATTCTTTCATAAAATTTATATGCTCACAGGTGATTACCCTATGTCTCTTACTATTCTGTAATTTGAACTGACCAGGAAGGTAAGAGGTGCCAACCCAACTGAAGATACCTGGAAATTCATAAGAAAAGCAAAGAAAAGCTTAACTTTCATAGCTAACAAGTTAAGGCAGGTAGAACTGTGAAGGCCTTCCTTATTTCTGTCTTCGACGACTTCTGCATATACAAGGCCTGTCCAGAAAAAGTCCAGCCATTGTTAATATAACAAGAATAGTTTGCATGACATTGGTGTAACCTGGAAGCCAAGGTGAGTGGACTGGAATGTGCATGCATGAACAATGACAGCTTCCCTGTACTCCTCAGTGGTGGTGGTAGACAACATTGAGGGAGCATGTATACTGTGTGGCTGTCACATTAAAAATTACTGAGTGAGTAGAACAAAGAATCTGCATCAAATTTTGCATTAAACATTCCTCCATGGGAACTATTGGGATGATTCCGAAGGTCGCAGCTATGGGCAACTGGTGATTGGCAGCTTCATCACAACAACACGCATGCTCATGAATCATTCTTGTGTAGAGTTATTCGGCAAAACATCAAATCACCCAGGTGACTCAGCCATCCTACAGCCCAGATTTGGCACCCTGTGACTTCTGGCTTTTCCCACAACTAAAATCACCTTTGAAAGGTTAAAGATTTCAGACCATCGATGAGATTCAGGAAAATATGGCGAGGCAGCTGATGGCGACTGGGAGAACTGTGCGAAGTCCCAAGGTGCCTACTTGGGAGGGGACCGAGGCATCATTGTCCTATATACAATGTTTCTTGTACCTTGTATCTTCTTCAGTAAATGTCTCTATTTTTCATATTACATGGTTGGATATTTTCTGGACAGACTTCGTATTCGTGAGCCAACTGGTGACCTTTTCAAGCCTTCAAGGCTGACTAAATATTTTCAGTATTTTAGTATTAAATAGTACTAAAATAAGTATTAAAGCACCTGTTTTAAATAATTTTTCCAGAACAAAAATGTTTATAGAAAAGTAAAACACAAAGGATGTTCAACTCAGGGCCCTGAATTCCTATTGTCATGACGCTAACTAACATGGAATATTCACAACTTGTTAATTACTAATGGAATAATTTTATATATTTCTGCCTTATCCCCTAATTAACTCTTATTTGAGAGCCAGGACTCAGTCTTAAAAGAGGCAGTATGGTCTAAATTAGACCTGCCTCAGCCAAAGTAGCTCTACTCTTATCTTTTTTTTATTGGAATTCTGGGTAAGACTGTTTCAAAAAGGAGTTGAAGTGCTATTAATTTTTTTATTTTAAAAAATATTTGTACTCCACTAACATTAAAAAGACTGATAATACCTAGTGTTGGCAAAGATTGTGAAACAACTAGGACACATTAATGTATAGTTTAGGCATACATGAATGGTACAGCCATACATGAATGATACAGATACTCTGGAAAACAGGAAGTATCTGTTACAGATACACAGATCTAGATCTAGATGTAGAGATATACAGACATCTTATTCAGTGATTCTACTCATTGGTATATACTCAAAAGAAATTATTGCTTATATCCGCCAAAAGTAATGTATAAAAATGTTCTTAGCAACTTTACCCATAATATCCAAAAGCTAGAAACACCAAAAGTCCATCAATGGAACAATGGATAAATTAAGTTTAAAAAATAAAGTAATGAAAGAAAAATGAATTACTACTCTCTACTATATTATAGGTGAATCTCATGTTAAATAAAAGAAGCCAGGCATAAAATAATAGTTATAATTGCATTTATATGAAGTTAAAAACAAGCAAGATTGATGGTTCTTGAACTTCACATACAACCTCATACCACTTCTGGTGATAGAGGATGGAAGAGTGGTTGCTTTTGGGTTGAGGTGGGTATTGAATAAGAAGGAGCATAAAAGATTCTCCTAGGTGCTAGTAATATTCTGTATCTTGATATGGATGGTGATTACACAAATCTATACAGATGTAAACATTCATCAAATTGTACACTGAATATTTATGCATTTACTATATGTTATACCTTAATTTTACAAACTCATATAGTGGCAAGTCTTGGGAATAAGCATTAGAAGTTCTAGTCATTGTTCTGTCACTTTTTGACATGGCATAGAAGCTCACTGGATGTTCACTCCATGTATGAAATGCTAATGTCTCTTTCCTTTCTGGAATCCATTAATTCAAAATTTCTATGAATATTCTTGGTCTTCATGTTTGACTTAAACATAGTAAATATATACATAAAATGATCTTTCCCGGATTTTTACCACATATAACTTCAGCATATCTCTTTAGTCCCTATTTGGAAAGACTGAGAGGTCTAATACAGTTATTTTATATTAACAGAAGGAACTAGCAACAGAATCTCTGAGCCAACATATAAGCACACAAAGCAAAATGTTTATGCAAGAATACAGGTGATTAGAAACTAGTTATGGTCTATTGTCTGGAAAAAGCAATATATTGTGATGACAGTAGTTGGAGCTGTAATTTCTCTGAATCAATAAAAATAACCTATAGCCACTGGAGTGATAATACCTAGTCATCTATAATCAATAACTAAAAGCTAAGTGCTGAAAGGTATCTGTTCTTTTCAAGTTATCTATATGAGGAATCAATATTTACTGTGCAAGTTCTATACATTTGAAATGAATCAAGACATTCCTTTATAGGGGCAAGCAGGGTACACAAGGGAAGTGTACTACTTTTTCTTTTCATTTTATACAGGGCATATATATTACTTTTATAAATAGAAAAAAAATAAAATAAAACTCTTCTCACCAACTGTTCTTCACAAGGAGATTCTACCTGAATTTAATAGCAGTATTTTTTTAAGGATTCTGACTTGTTTATGTATTAGACAGCATGAAAATAACGTGTTTAGATTATTTCACAAAAAGAGCTCAAACTGCTCAGAAAAAGCAATGGGCTTGCTGGGGAAAAAACAATTCTTCTGACTACTGCACAAGAAGAGTACTCTCTATTTTTATATCCTCACTCTAGATATACAAGTCATCAAATCATCAGATCAATTGAGTATACTAGTCATCACTTCATAAGAAAGGAAAAACATGCAATCGTTTTAGAAGTATGTGAATCTAAGGAACTTCTTGTATGGATTATGGATTAAGCTTTCAAATTTCAGCCTGTTGTAAAAAATCAAAAGAAGTATCCATCAGATGATAACAGAATCATTGCATGTAATAATATGCCACACACACAACAAAAGTACTAACCCACTGAGACCAAGGCATGGATTCTAATTCTGGCCTTGTCATCTAAATTTGAATAAATCTTTTTGATCTTTCTGACTCAGTCTTCCTATCTGTAAAATGAAGAGACTGTGTTAACTTTAGCTTTATTTTTCTCTATCACTAAAAATTCCTAAATGCTCAGAATTTACTACATGCTCACCAACATGGTAGATGCTTCTCCTGATATTTACTTTAATCTACATAAAAGCCAACTATCCTTACTAATGAAAATATCTAGAAATTAGAAATCAGAAGCCACTAAAATTGAATGATGGGCATTAAAGCCTGAAGTCCATGATAAAGGCCTTTCACCGCTATGTATCCGGTTTGCCTCCATCAAATAATAAAAAGAACCACAACTCATAAATAAATAAATGAATTAAGTAATTGAAAGGGTCTATAATGAACTGGCTAAAGAATTTTTTAAAAACTCAGTGATGAAGCTATCTCTGTTCAAGAAAAGACCTGCAGTTTTTATATATACACATATACACACACACACTTACACACACATACGTAGCATATATACACACATATTAAGATACATACATACATACATATGTATATACAGACACACACATAGAGTCAAAATAAAAAACATGACATCTACTCACTTTGACAGAGATACTCCCCCAGCTTTCCCAATCATCTCTTCATGGTGTAATACTGAGTGGTTCCACGGAATATGGAGGAACTTTAAGAGAGTTCTCATCCACCGTTCAGGATGTAAGACAAGTTGTTCATAGTGAACTAACATGCATTTTTTGTAGCCAACCTCCATACACTGGTTATACATGGTTTCTATGGCACGATTCCACTTGGTCAAACAGTCCCTGTAACTGTTCAGGTCAAACCCAGCTATAGTAACTTTTCGAGAAATCATTGAATGTACTGATGCCCGGCCATCTCGAACCATCAGGAGAAATTTGGCATTGGGAAATAACCTAGCAAGGTAAGTTAAGGATTTCAGGGCAAAAGGATCTTTATTACATAAATAAGGAGCTGGCTCCCCATGCTTAACAATGATTTCTAGTAAGAAGGCTTGCATGGCAGAATCTAGCACTTCATCAGTGACACCAGCCTCATCCAAGCGTATTTTTTCTTTACTCGACCGTGACCACATCTGCTTCAGGGCCAGGATTCGAGGAATGACCCTGGTTTCCTCTCCACAGCGAATATCAGGATGTGCATCTAACATGGCCCTCATAAGTGTGGTTCCACTCCGAGGCACACCTCCAATAAAAATTAAAGGCATATCTTTGTGATAGGCAAAGGTTTTGTTGGCTTTGATATCCAGGCCAGTTTGTACAGTGGTCTTTGTGCTCTCCAATTTGAGGGGTTGACTACGTTCTTCTATTCGGTGATGGCATTCCATGGCGTGCTGGCCCAAGTAAAACACAGTCACAGAACTAATCACCAGACATGCCAATAGTAGGTTCTGCTTCAGTTTTCCAACCATCTTGATGTGGTTATCTTTTTATTAAACAGATATTTTGCTCAAAATGATTTCCAGAAACTGTTCAGGCCATGGAGATTCTACTTCAGAAAGATGATCAACATCTAACAGGAAAGGGAAAAAGTTATTTTACCATCATTAAGACTGTTTACAAATTAGTCATCAATTATTACTAAAACATTTTAGCTAGAAAGAAGCTGATGCTGTCTTAGATGCTTTGATATTCTTACAACACAAATATGCAAAAATGCAAGCAAAAAGAAATCAGCATTTCCAATCAGAAACAGGTTCTTGATATAACAATTCTGAAGCTATGCACAAAATGGAAAATTAAATAAAACTACTTCTATCAGTGAGTCAAGTGACTATTTAGTATGCCCAACAATATACGGAGTCTAATCCAAGTCTCATCTCTGATATTTAGATTTGATTCTTCCCCAAGAAGTTATTATCTCCACATCCTACTATTAAAAGAAATTGCAGAAGAAATATACAACTTCTAAATCTTTAACACACTTTATTCATCCTGCAAATTACTTACTTAGGTATGCCAGGCCAGATGATAGCTGAGGATAAACTTTGAAAAGGACAGCAGTGCAGTGATCTCTGCTCTCAGAAGACAAAGTCTTATGAACAGACAGATATGCAAACAATGACAATACATGCTATATGGGCATTGGTAGAAATAAGCACAGGGGACAGTGGAAGTAATAAAAAGGAACAAATAAACCTACCTCAGGAAGCTATAAAGGCCTTACAGAAGGTTAAGAGGGACACTACTCTAAGCAATAGGAACTTGTGTGCAAATAGCACAACAGAATACAGCATCATTAAGTAATAAGTAGTTCAGGAGAACTGGTGTATAGGATGCAAAGAAAAGTGTATGTGTGGTGCGTGTGTGTGTGTGTGTGATCTAGCCCTCAGAAAGACAGATAAGATTTGGGCACACAGACCATTCTAAGCTGAAGATGATCAAAGAAGTAGATGTGTAAAGCAGAGCATGTATGTAAAATATACATACTATATAAAATACACACACTGGAACTGCTAGCTTAACTGGAACAAGATTATATGCTACGAAGCAGACAGAAATCAGACTATAGATAGACTAAAAAGATTTACCCTGAATCTTCAGAGGGCAAGTGTAATGGTTAATTTTATGTGTCAACTTGGCTAGGCTATGGCACACAGTATTTGGTCAAACACTAGTCTAGATGTTGCTGTAAAGGAATTTTTGGATATAATTAACAAATCAACAGACTTTGAGTAAAGCAGATTACCCTCCATAATACAAGTGGGCCTCATCCAACAATTAAAGTCCTTAAGAGTAAGGACAGATCCTGAAGAAAAAAGGATTCTCCTCAAGACTGCAACATAGAAATCTTGTGTGAGTTTCCAGCCTGCTGCCCTGTGGAATTAGACCCAAGGCTAACATCAATTCTTACTTACCTGGCTGTTCTATGGATTTTAGAAATGCCAGCATCACAATCTCATCCACCAATTCGCTAAAAACTTCATTTATTTGCATCTTCCTCAATTTCTTTCTTCAGTGTTATATCATTTGCCAAGTATAGATCTTTTATCTCCTTGGTTAAATTTATTACTAGGTACTCTATTTTTCTTGTTGCTATAGTAAATGGGATTTTTTTCTTAGTTTCTCTTTCTGATAGTTCATTGTTGGTGTACATAAATGCCACCAACTTCTGAATAAAAACGGCACATATACACATATACACACGTATACATATTGGTGCACGTGGTCTGTCCAGAAAGTATCCAGCCATTCAGTATGACTGTGAAGTGAGCGTGTGTACAATACACATACAGAGACTAACAGTAAGTACACCTAGGAAAATGACCAAAAGAATACATTCTAAGAGGCAGGACATCTAGCTATAGACTAGCAAGAATGTAGGCAATTTTCCCCAAAAATCAATTATAAAGTGGAATAAAATGGACAAAGCAACCCCTTCACAGTCCTCTGGAATTCTACCAGATGCATACAACAACCTAAGAAGCATCTACATTTGAAAAACTGTTAAATGTTGAGTATGAACAGTCAGGGTCTCTGGCATTCCTGCCTGAGACTATTCCCACTTCACCACCCACCCATTCAGCAGGTACAGAGTTTTTGCAGGTCAGGGCAAAGCAGGGCAAACCATGAGGATTGGCAGCTTTTGATCAAAGTGAGATCACTCACTTTGGAGTGCTGTGCTGTCAGTGTAAGTGATGTTCCAGGTGGCAGGTGAGCAAGGAGGGTGTGAACAGCTCTAGTAGGCTAAGGTTAGAGTCATGGTTGGCAAGCTTGTGGTCAACTCTGAGGTTGCAAATAGGCAAAGAAGAGACATGAAAGGACTAAATGGAAAGTAAATGTCAGGGCAGATTTGAAAATGGCCTAATCTTTGAATGTGCTTATCCACCCACACGCAGATCCATTGGCAGAGGAAAAGTCTTACTGGTTCAAGGTGTTTGAGCATAACCACTGCCTCCTAAACTACACAGACAAGCCACACTAAACTAAGCTACACAGGGCCCTAAAAAGCCATGTTTAAAAAAATAAAAACAATTGTGCATGTTTATCTGAGCAGTTACACCAATATACATCTATATGAAATGTCCACACAAGGCAGTTTACAGAGACAGAAAGCAGGGGGTGGAAGCAGAAATTTAATGGCAAACAGGCATGAGTGGACTTTGTGATAGTTGCAAAACTCTAAAATCTAATAAAAACCACTGAATTGTACCCTAATGATGAGTAGGTTTTATGGTACATAACTTACACCCCAATATACCTGTTTTTTGTTTGTGTGTTTTTTTTAAATCCTCACCAGAGGATACATTTATTGATTTTTAGAGAGAAAAGAAGGCAGAGAGATACAGAGAAACATAGATTGGTTGCCTTCCACATGTGCCCTGACCGGGATGGAACACGCAACCCAGGTATTTGCCTTGACTATGGATTGAACCCTCAACCTTTTGGTGTAGGAGACAACACTGCGACCAACTACACAACTCAGCCAGGGCAATACAGCTTTTTTTTTTTTTTTTAAAGAATACAGTCCTAGAAAAATATTTTGATAATCTCAGTAGGATCCACCAATCAAGATCTGGTTTTTGTTTACTTATGTATTCATTACTTTAGTTACATATTTGAGCACCTATTATTGTGCCAGGCACTGTACTTTATTCTAAAGCTGCAACAAAGAACTACAAAGCAAGAATAGGTTGAGAATAAAAGATTAGCTTAACAAAAAAAAGGCTAAAAAAGCACATAACTGGTAGCAATATAGTATTGAAATATCTATGCAGAAAACTGTATCCATTATATAGAAGACATGCTTAAGATTTTATACCAGATACAAAATATTCACCAGTCAAAAGTTAAACTCTAAGTTAATATAGCAGCAACCAATAGTATCTGATAACTTCCCATAAAAAATCCCAAATTCCCAGTAAAATACATAAAAATACAAAAACTGGAAATATATGATCAATTTAGTTCCTTGTCTGGAAACAGACTTGTAAATCATTTTAAAGGTTGCATAATACTTTACTGATAGGCTCTACCAATGTTTGGCCAATTCTCTATTATTATTTACTTGTTTTTCAATTTTCATAATTATAAACAACACTATAAGAAATATTCTTGTATATACAAACATCTTTGCACATTATTTTCTTAAACTAAATTTTTAGAAGAGGAACTGATAGGTCAACGGGTGTTGGATGTGCTTGATTTTAAAGCATTTAATACATATTTGATTCATCTGTTTCTCAGACCCTACATCCAAATCTGATTAAAAAAAATTGGTTCTACCTTCAAAACAGAGTCAGAATTTGACCATTTCTCAACACTTCCACTGTCAACCCAGCATCTCTCAGAAGGAATACTGAAAGGAATCCTTCCTTCCATCCCTGTCCTCCGAGAATCTATTCTCAAATTCAACAGCCAGAAGGACCTTTTTAAAATGTAAGTCAGAACGTATTCCTTTGCACAAAGCTTGGTATTGTTTTTCAAAGTGGTCTTGAAAAAGCTTATTTTAAGACATATAACACTAAATCTGTGTTAATTTCTGTCTTTTTTTCCCCTTGATTTTCTTGCTGTCAAGAAATCTCTATAGACATCAAAAGTAGTACTGACTGAGGTCAGGCTAATACATCATCCCAAAAGTGTCTGTTGTTCAAAGTAAAGTAATTGAGAAGGCATCTCTTAACATTAAAGATTTCATAAGGACTCAGATAAAGACAACTCTCCCTTTTTACTAAGGAATAATTTAGGGGAAAAGAACACCTTACTATATTTCAAAGCATACTTGATAGTTGTGTCAACACAATTTTGGGTGACTTTTTTTAAGTTTTGATATCTGTTGTATTTTACTTATTTTTTAAAATATATTTTATTGATTATGCTATTACAGTTGTCCCAACTTTCCCCCTTTGCCCCCTCTATCTGGTACCCCTATTACCTCCAGCAATCCCCTCTGCTTAGTTCATGACCATGGGTCATGCATGTAAGTTTTGTGGCTACTCTATTTCCTACACTGTTCTTATCCCCCTGTCTAGTCTGTCCCTACCAATGTGTACTTCTTAATCCCTTCACCTTTTCCCCTCTTCTCTCCCTTCTCCCCTTTCTCCCTCCCAGCTGATAACCCTCCAAATGACCTCCATATCTATGGTACTGTTTCTGTTCAGCTTGTTTGTTTTTTAGATTGAATTGTTCATAGTTGTGAATTTATTGCCATTTTAATGTTAATAGTTTTGATCTTCTTTTTCCTAATTAAGTCCTTTTAACATTTCATGTAATAATGGCTTGGTGATGATGAACTCCTTTAGCTTTACCTTGTCTGGGAAGCATTTATCTGTCCTTCAATTCTCAATGATAGTTTTGCTGGATGGAGTAATCTTGGTTGTAGGTCCTTGCTTTTCACCACTTGAATACTTCTTGCCAATCTCTTCCAGCCTGCCAAGTTTCCTTTGAGAAATCAGCTGACAGTCTTATGGGAACTTCTTTGTAGGTAACTCTCTTCTTTTCTCTTGCTGCTTTTAAAATTCTTTCTTTATCTTTAACCTTTGGCACTTTAATTATGATGTGTCTTGGAGCTAC